GGAACCATCCTTATTTCTGAGAAACTCCCGCGACTTGAGACCACTGTGTCCAAATATATTGTTAAACGTAAATGCATTCCTTGACCCAATTTATAACATGTAGGTATATACTGTTGGACCTATGTTTCTTCTGTGAATACAGTATAATCTATTACAGTATAATCTTTACGTACTTTACATACTAGTAAGAACAGGATGACCTCTAAGTATTCTTTTGAAATCTATTTCAGAACATTTCAATGTCAGTTTTAATTATGTCAATGAGGAAAAAGCCTATGATCTGTTTTATGCACAGACATAGCAAATCGAGATTTCAATAAGTATTTGTATACACTTTTATGGGGAAAATGTTAATATGAGCTTTTCCTACTTAGCAACCACTGTTTGCTTTAATCACTTATTTGAAATAACATTAAGTGGTCAATGCACTCACTCAAAAGGAAAACAATTAAAAATCTGATAAGAACCTTAAAAATATAAGGTATAATATCTAGCCAGTACAGCTAAAAGCATGCCCCTCTAGCATAATTAAAATAATGAATATTTATCAATTTTATATTTCTGTTAATTAATTACAGGTATTGTCATTGATGTTGCTGACACCTTTGTTGATGGTGATAATGAAATCAAGGAACACTCACGAACTGATGTTACATTCGACCTTACGGTTGGCACAGATGCAGCAACTACTGCTCTGAGCGGAACAGACCTGTGGCAGATAAACGTGTTTGTAAGTGCAAACAGCACAGGCGCAGGGCCACGATACGGAGAGACCTTAGCTGACCTCACAACAGAGCAGAAAAATGCTGCTATTACAGTCGGCTCACCTCTAGAAATCACAGGAGTTACAGCCACTTTGGACCTGGATGATCTGAAGTGCTTTGAAGACCCAAGAATGTTCTACTACCTTTGTGTGGAGTTCATGCGTGATCCAGCCAGTGTACCATCCTTTAGTATCATATCAGCTCAAGGCAGTTTAGAACCATTGTGTCAAGTTACCAATTGCTTAGGTGAGATAAGGCCAAAAAAAAAATAAATTGTTTGTTTGGCCTTCTTTTTTTAAAAATGATAAGTAGGGGTGGGTGAAAAAAGTTTTTTTTTTATTTTTTATTTTTTTAAGATACTCATCAGATGGAATAAAAATAACCCACAGAGGCCTAGAATGGCAATATCGTACATCAGACAACAACTTCAGACTAATTTGTAGGGCATCTGGAAAAATAAAGATAAATTCACTCACATTTTTTTTTAATTTGTAAAGAATAAATTTAAAAAAGAACTTTTTTTTTTTTTTTCCGTCCCTATTTTTTTCAGTGAGTTATGAGCGGTTGGAGGAGGGCTAACAAACATTTTTGTTTTGCCTTAATAACTTTATGAAACCAACTCTTGTTACTACAGTTTGCCTTGCAATTTGGGACCATTTTTGTATCAATCATAATGGTAATAACAATAATAATACCGCTATAGCAATAATGTTTATTAATGCTGATTAATAATTATAGAAATTATATATTTTTCTTTTAGTATGTTTCATATTTACCTTCCTGTCTATAGTATATGTTTGAGAGCTATCTCTCAGTCAGCTATAAGAACCCTCTTGTGAAGTATTGTTGACTATAAATAAGTAATAAGTAAAAACCTCAAAAATTAAATTAAAATAATTGTTAGTTCCTTTGCCCTCTACATTTGTGTACTTCTCATGTGTAACATCTTAGATAGCAGTGTTTAGCACTAACTATATTCTTTGCTATTATTCGTTTTCAGATGCCGGTGAGATTTTATATCAAAATATTCAACACTATTTACCTATATAAAATTTTCTTATTTTCAGATTATGACAATTATTTTTAAACAATTCATTCATTTTCATTATCTACAGGTGTAAAAATTGTAGGAGCATCAGTATTCATGGTTACCCGTGGAGATCCTGTGAAGGAGCGGAGTGACAATACTATAGTTTTCTCTTTAAATATCACTTCAAGCCAGTTTGAGGCCAGTATATCAGGAGATAACCTTTGGGCCATAACTGCAGACCTGAAAAACACGGTGAGTTGATTACCATATTATGTGTTACTGCACTTACCTATTTATGAGACCATATCATTCTCATATGCAGCTGTTGATTCATGGAATATCAAACAATCATTTAGCAAAAGCATGGCATACATTTTCATTCTGGAAAGAAGTATTATATATATATTTTCTCCTGAATTTGTGATAATTTGTTATCACGCATAGACCTGTGCTAAATTTGTGACAAATTTATGATCAGGCATGTGTTTCTGTAAAATGCGTGTTTCAACCAAAATCACTTTGAAATGCGGAACTGTCCTGCACGGTGCGAGACGGTTGGTAACTATGCTTTAAGAAGAGACACAAATTACATACATGAATCATGACAAGGTCTCTTAAAACTATTAGAGTTTCATTCAACATACTGAATTGTCAATAATCAGTTATCATATTTCACATTTTTTTGACTCATAGAATGGGAATGATTTAACACCAAATGAGGATGTTATAATAAGCACAGGTGACACCAGTACAGAATTAACTGCAGGAACAACTCTGACTTTGTCGAACCTGACTGTTAACATAGACTTGACTAACTACGTTTGCACAGAAGAAATACAATTATGTGTTGATATTGAGGAGGGGTCAAGTGCCAGTCCTGCGTTCACGCTGAATAAACCATCTGGGGTATTTCCATCATGTGTTGACGTTTCTTGTTTGGGTGAGTGACTTTGTTCATTACTGTATACGTGTATTATAAAGAGGGAGGTGTGATTTTATAACTCATATATTTTAATTACGTTTAGTATTTTTATATTTTTATCGTTTTTAACCCCAGTAAAATATCAGAATGTTACTTCAAATATTATAGCACTTTATTTGAGGTGACTGATTAAACACATTTTAGGTGATGCTTTTGCTTATAAATACCATAGTCCAGGATTTTTTATCCTGGCTAAAACAGATTATACTCTCTAAGCCTTGTGATAAGGGACATGTTGAAGCCTACACGTGGCGGTCCCATTTTTGCCTGTTGTTGTTGTTGTTGTTGTTGGCTGTTGTTGTTGTTTCCTGTTGTTGTGGCGACAACAACGCCACAGTCAACCTAAACCAAAAAGATGTATCTTGAACTGGAACCTGCAGACTGGTTGAAAACAGACTTTCCACTGTGATTTTGGACTTAAACGAACAAACAATGAGACTTAGTTTATAAAGTTTGTTTTAAAGGTCCTGCCACACTATCAAAATTTATGTGACAAGTTTGTGTGATATGCCCATATATGGGCCTGGTGATGTCATATTATATATAGGAATATCACAGTTATTTGCCACATAAAATTTGGCAGTGGATCAAAGCTTCGTAAGCGAGTCAGTCGCTATATGATTAGAGAGAATGGAAGGAATAAAAACATTTTTGTGTCCATAATTTACCACAGTGACAACTACACCTGAAGGCTTAAATATGGCTAGCGGATCAGATCCAAAAACCAGCATAGACGTATTCTGGTTGCCGCCAATTACAGACAATTTTGAAGGCTACCAATTAACCTACGAACCGGCAGATGGTGACAATCCCTCCCCAATGATGTACGATAAAGGTACCAGACTTGCAGCTCTATCTGGACTTACTCCCTCAATGACATACAATGTTACGATTCGAACTACTTTTAATAATACCTTTGGAAGGGAAATTTCTGCAGAGTTTACAACAGGTATTTTGTTTTTTATTCTTTAGAATGATATTATTAAATGGTAATTTATAAAATAATAGTTATTATAATATTTTAATGTTTTTAATATGTATTAATTTATTCTGTACCAAAAGTTGTTCAATGTTTGATATTATATAT